TATTATTATTTATTATTAGGTTATTATTCAGGCATACCTCAACAAGAAGGAAATATTCTTGTCTTAATGGAGATTCATATTATTTACATAATATAAACAGTTCACAACAACAACATGTATTATTTTGTCAACCAAATTTCAACACTTGTCATATGCTGAAAGCCTTCAAAGGTAACCAAAATGAATGTGAAATAAACACATCCGCTGTCAATGTGTTGACATGTACCGTACTTGCTCTATTAAGTTTTACCACAGACCCTCGACTGTAGGATTTTACAGTGGCTTGTTAAGCACTTAGTTTTACTGATATTTAATTACCGGTACATTTTCTGATTGGTATATTGAGCTTCATCATAGACCCCACAATAGATTGTAGGGTCTATGTCCTCATTAGTATTTATACATTTACACAGGAAATGGCATATACACCATGCTCCATTTCTACTTATTAGTGAGGTGTTAAACTATCAGAGGTTTCTGGAGTATAGCCAAGGTATCGTGTACAGTCAGACAGACAGGAAAGAGGTTGTACATGCATAGACTACTTATCAATAACTACCTGATACTTATGGCTTAATGTACGGTATATTTGCTAACATGTCTGGGTATACCGCTACCAAATTACTAATTCTACACTTGATGTTGTACCAGTAAACTCAACGGCATGATTATTTCATTTCTTAAAAGTACAACTCTAAATATTCTATTATTCCTACTGGAAATACATATTAACTTGTTGAATGCTATCAATTTTCATACTGAACTTATTTTAATAACACAACAGTTATACACCTGTCACATTTTAGTTTCTTATTACTGAGATGTATTTGTATAAATCAAACCTTATGCATATTCATAAAATGATAATGGCATACCTCTGTATGCAAATGTATTATGATTATTATATTAAAGTAACTCACCAGTAAAGACATAATGTTCATCCATCTCAAGAAGTTCAACACCACATAGACTGTCTATTGGAGGTGTAAACAATTCAACGTACTCCTTTTCTTTCATATAATCCAATCCTTTGTAGACTTTAATCACCTTGACTCTCCAGGCTTGCATCATTGGTTGTGGTCTACCCTTCATTGCTTCCTCCAGAGATGGCAATGGTGGTAAGGCTTTTCGAAATCTTTGCATTGGTATCTCATTGTCAATGTCCATTACTTCGGCAGTTGTGATGTCTGGGACCGGCGTCGTTGGTACTTGCTGCCAGGTTGTGGCTGGTTCATGTGTCGGCTCTTTTGTTTCATATATCCATCTATGGGACAATACTTTTGCCTTTATCACTGTAAACCAATAATATATTTTCTCATAATAAATAATACTAAAATCTTTGAAAATGAGAGGAACATTATGAAGTGCGGTAAAAGGGGAACAGAGAATAGCAGAGCCAGTCTAGTTTTAACTGTGTTATAACCTTAACTTATTTTACATCGAGTTCTAGCTGGTGAAAATGCTCTAAAATAGTGTCTCTATCCACTCCATTCCACTATTAAAACTCAATTTTCACTTAATCTTGAGATTTCAGTAACACAAATCAAATCTGTGAAGTTTTAATTGTGTTTTTGAGTGTATTGTATTGTGTAGGTAACTTTATTGTTAACGGAATGGTGATGTAGCAATACATGGTTGAATGGATAATATTTGATTGCCATCACTGCAATGGTGATGTAGCAATACATGGTTGAATGGATAATATTTGATTGCCATCACTGCAATGGTGATGTAGCAATACATGGCTGAATGGATAATATTTGATTGCCATCACTGCAATGGTGATGTAGCAATACATGATTGAATGGATAATATTTGATTGCCATCACTGCAATGGTGATGTAGCAATACATGGTTGAATGGATAATATTTGATTGCCATCACTGCAATGGTGATGTAGCAATACATGGCTGAATGGATAATATTTGATTGCCATCACTGCAATGGTGATGTAGCAATACATGGTTGAATGGATAATATTTGATTGCCATCACTGCAACGGTGATGTAG